CGCCGTTTTGAATCCAAAATAGGTCGTTTGTGTGATTCATGTAGATCTGCAATAAAAATATTTTTGGGGTATGGGGGGGGTCTGGGACCCGGAGTAATCTCCGTACCAGAGTGTAGGAATACTCTGTTACAGTAAAAGTCCTGCATTCAAAATGTTCCTCAAGTAAAAGTAGAAAAGTATTCTCATCAAGATATAGTGAAAGTAGCGACAGTAAAAGTAGTCGTTGTGCAGATTGGTCCATTTCAGAATAATATATATGATATGTTTTATAATGATTGATCATGAAAGTGTTCTCAAAGCTGGTAAAGGTGCAGCTAGTTTGAATGACTTTGTATACTGCAGGGTAGCTTGTGGATTTACTCCAGGTGGAACTAAAGTCTGATTCAACACTTGATTAGATTTCACATCATTCATCCACATCTGTAAAGTAACTAAAGGTATTAATACATGTAGTGGAGTCAAAGTACACCATTTACCTCTGAACTGTAGAGGAGAAGAAGAACAAAGTAGCAAAACATTGAAATACTTAAATAAAGTACAAGTATCTCAAAATTGTACCCAAGTACACTCTTAAAACTACTGGGTTAAAAAATAACCCAATCATAACCCAGCTGCTGAATCACTATAGGACAGAACACACGCTGGGTTGTCTTAACCCATATGCTGGGCTGGATCATTTTAACCCATGTGCAGGGTTGTTTATTTGACCCAAGCTAGTGATTGAAATTAACTATATCACTGGGTTAAATGAATATAAACCATACATTGGGTTGTTCATTTGACCCAAGCTATTGATTGAAATTAACTATATTGTTGGGCTAAATAGAATATAATAATAATGTATAATAGTGTAATGAATTATCTCCAAACACACCGTATATATATATAAAAATGCATTTATTGATAATTTGAACAGCTTTGGCAAATCGCCAACATTCCATTTCCACTATAAAAGAACAATGCATTTTAGCACAATACAAATTCAATATATTTAACTCTTAAATAAATAAAAACACCTTAAAAACAGTGCTAGGGCCTTGAGAAATATCTGTGTGTATTTTAACCATCACTTATGAGTAGTGTTGGGACTAACGCGTTACAAGTAACGCGTTACTGTAACGTCGTTACTGTTGGTAGTAACTAGTACTCTGACGCATTACTTTTGAAATTCAGTAACGCAGTTACCGTTACTACATTGTGCGTTACTCCGTTAGTTTTTTTATATAGTCAACAGCCAGGCGAACAGAGATGAGAACTGTACTTAAGTACTTGAGTAAATGTACTTAGATACTTCCTGTGTCACATGCGGAGACGGGCTGTGGGCATGTTTGTGTTGTTTACTAACAAGACTATCATGGCGGCGGCGGAGCTCAAGTCTAGTTTAGTCTATTTCAATTTTGTCGAGCACCAAGAAAAGAACGTTTTAGTTAAATGTAAGTTGTGTCTTGGCGGGTCAAAGATCCTATCTACTGCCCAAACCAGTCATTAAAATCTCTTAAAACATCTGTAAAAACAACATGCTGGGACGAAGCTAGTAGCTAAGACCACAGAGACTCAGCCGACGCCACTCCACCTCCACCTAAGCAACAGCGGCTGGATTTTAACCGAGGGACTGCTGGCCAGGGAAAAGTCGATAAAGCCATTGCACAGTATGTTGTAGAACACATGCAGGCTATAGCTACGGCTACAGTGGAGTCACCCGCTTTCAGGGAGCTAGTTAGCATGATAGCATGTCCGGGCGGCACACGGCATATGGGACGGAAAACTTTTTCCAACTACCTGGAGAAAGAATATACAAAAATGGAAAGCCAGCTAATATCGATGCAATCCAGATTGCATATAATGCATGTCAAGTTGATCAACAGATTGTATTATTCTCCAATGCAATAACAGTACTGAAATGAAGGCTATAAGGGCATTAATGGTAGACATTTTGTCAAGTAACGAAAACGTTACTTTTCACAGTAACGCATTCCTTTTGGATGTAAGTAACTAGTAAAGTAACTGAGTTACTTTTGACATGAAGTAACTAGTAATGGTAACTAGTTACTGGTTTTCAGTAACTAGCACAACACTGCTTATGAGTAAACACAATTTTCAGGAACAGTTCTGCGTATTAATTTAACACATGGACCATAAAGACCCAATACATATAAAAGTATAAAACAACATCTACGAACAGTCCTTCAACTTGAAGCTGAACAGTAACAAATCTGTCAATGAACACAACAGAAAACAGATGTAAAGCAGCAGGATGTAAACAGAGGAGAACAGTGTGTGTGTGTGTGTGTGTGATTGTTAAAGTGCAACTTTGTTGGTTGGATTAAACTGCCAAAAGCTTTTTCAGGCTCAACACCCTGGGCTTCAAGTTCCCCTCATCAACACTTTCTGGGTGAAGTCGAAAGTGTTGGCCAAGTCTTTTGGGTAGCTCAGATGCAGGGCAAAGGTCAGTGCAAAAAGCAGGATGAATGCGTCAGCCAGTGTGGGGAGTTCCATAACTCTGTTACCCTCAATGACAACAGCGATCCTCTCTGGGCAGAAGAGCGTGGTGTCTGTTGACCTGGCACTGATCATGAGAAGTCCGACCGCGATGCCCTCTGTGTCTGGATCATCAGACTGCTCCACCTGATGACAAGAACAGATAAACGTTACCCAAATTGCCTCTCTCAGAAATGTGTTTTCTGAAAAATACATCGGTGACATATCACATAAAATAACCGTATGTTTTGTGCATAATGTGGGTTTAAGGAAACGCCTATTAGCATTGCACAACATAATGTTACAGCACCAGAAACGTCAGCCTCCAAAATAACCAATCAGTTGACATAAATGCTTTCAACAAAAATCATGTATAACCTTCATAAGGGTAGGATTTATTTTATCACTGTATTAGACTGTTACTATTAGCTAGTTGTACCTAATAAACTGGCAACTGAATATATATTTACAGTATAATCTCTCCCTACTACACATACAAAAAAATATGGGGAACACTAGAGATTATTTTGTATTGAACACTGATGCTGCAGGAAAGAAAGCCCTCTCTTGATTGTGTATTTTATTAAATCACCTGAGCCCATTTTATACACGCTTAATTTCAAATAAATCCTTAAGTAGAAATCATATTCAACACCTCTGAAGTGTTGAAGTAAAGGGAGATTATGTTCAACATGTCCATTGTGTACCTTACAATAATTACAATTCTTATGGCAATATTCAAATCTTGGAACTAGAACCTGAATGGGATGTGAGCAAAACAAGAGATAATGTTTGATTAACAACACCTGAGTGACAGAATCAAGCTTTGATGACACCAGGACAGTTCATACTTTTTCAAACTAAATCTATCATTTATTATAATTTTTTCACTATAAAAATTCAAATAATTGTCTACCTGCGATAGAGCTCCTGAAACAATGTAACAAGATAAACTATATTTGTGGATGATCTGTCACATACATTCAAAACAGTTATTATGCTGACTTACATGCCACAGCCTCGGAAACGTGGAGTCATCTTCATGCAGATATTCAGGCAGAGCACAGAGGACAGCAGCACGGAGGACATGGACGTCAGCTTGCTCCTTGAGTGTGAGAACATATATTTGTTTTACTTTGGATGCTAAACAGTAGAACCACACAACAATTTATATCACAAGAAAGGGCTCTTCCATGACTGAAGAGATTAACATTTTCACAAAGATAATCCACTCTAGTATGAGAATAAAACACCAAGAGGCATAACCGACTCACCTGGAGGTCATAGGAGGCGAATAGCTGATCCAGAAGTTCAGTTTCCTTTCCTTGCCGCCTTCTTCCTGAACAGGCTCTGAAGATGGAGGACATGTCTATCCAACTCCGCCAGTGCATGACATTAAGGATTTTGGGAGATGGCCCTGTGGGCCATCTAAGCTAATTTACAGATGGCCCTGAGCCCAATAGAGATTGCCCTGAAAAATGCGCGCGGACGAAATGGCACGAAGGGTTTGGGGGGCCTCCGTCCCCCTAGAAAATTTAGATTTTTGCAGGTCTTAGATGCTGTCTGGTGCATTCTCTAGACTGAATTATAAGATGAACCACCACAATATTGTATTGTACAATTTCAATTTTATTCTTCATTTCACTTGTTTGTTTGTTCTTGTTTGTGTTTGCTCGCTTGCATGCCCTGCATAGCTATAAGAAACACTTAAGTTGTTGGTCAAGACACTTTCCATCTGATGAAGGCAAATGCCTTCCCAGATGTAAAAAAGTAGAAAACATTACATTCAGTTATTAATGCCAAAACAAAAAAAAATGTTTGTAATGTTATCTACTGTAAGTTGGTCGAACGAATGCCTCCTCATCCGGAAGCTGACCGAGCAGACCCGAGCAGCAGTCGAGAGGAGCCGAGCGCATCCGCGAAGCACACAAAATGGCGACGTCATAGTTCCCATTAGCCGGCAAATCTAAATGTCCGGTCAAAATAATTTCCCTTTAGCGCAATACCGCTTCAGTTGCGCCACTTATGTGACAGACAAAAGAGTATGTGACAGACAAGAATAGTCAATTCTAATGTCTAACACGTAATGTGGAGAAAGAGATGTCCTGTGTGGGTTGATTGTGCGTTGATCTGTTGGTAATGCCTCGGGGTTCCAGTGGGCATGTAAACAAATACATAATGCTGCGCTATACTTTGTGGCCTCACCCAGTTGTATAGCGACACTTATTGTGTAGGTGTCTTTTAATAAACAGGTAGTAATATCATTAGCTAGAACTAGCTGAATCTGATCGATATGGACATAAACGCGAGTGAAGTCTAATCTGACGGGAGAGAGAGATCAGCTGAGCAGGCTGACGAGTGGACATGCAGCTCTGCATGATCACATGCAGCGGTGAGCGGACAAAACACACACACTTCAGGTTAGAATATCACACGTAGCTATTTTAATTACCTCTCAAACTACCTAAACTAGTTATAGATATGTTTAGTTTTACTGTCGGGTCACTCATTACTGGATCCGCAAGCTGCATGATACTGGCACAATAGATTGCCCGATCGGGCAACCAGCAGGTCAGGCTTCATTGCCCGAGCTAAATACTAGATGGCCCCGGGCCATCGGGCAGTCCTTAATGTCGAGCCCTGTCCGCATAGAAGTGGTTCTTCAGGTTGAGGTTTGTTATCCTGTGAAACTCTGCCAAAATATAAAATGACTATTTAACAGAAACATAAAATGCTAAATCTGAGTAAACATGTCAAAGTTATCAGTGACAAAGGCACACAAAATAATTATATAGTTGTAATAAATAAAATATTTTCACCTGTGACTCCATTTTCAAGGCAGGCCAGCGTTCCAGGATCTCTCCAACAGGTAGCTCATCATTGATGATCTCATTGCGCCGCAGGGCAAAGGTAGTCTGCATTAACTTTTAAATCAAGCGAATAATAATGTTCAAGTAACTCTGCCCTTGTATCAAAGACAGCAGCACAAAGTTTGCATCTCCAAGCCATTGGAAAACGTAACAATATTCACAGGCACCCTACAAACGACGGCGTGCGTTGACGCTTGCCTGCGGGCATGTCTGAAGCTAGACCAACAACCAATCACATGAAAGCTACACTTTGCTCCCACAATGCAGTTCGGCTAAGTGTGATGTCACCCCATTCAAGGTGAATGGGCAGAAGCGTCAACGCACGCCGCCAAACTGCATTGTGACAATCAAATCATATGCCAGTACAAGCTCTAGCCAATCAAACCGCGTGCTTGTGTGTCCGGGGCGGGATATTCATGTAATTGGTTGTTGGTCGAGCTTCAGACAAGCCCGCCGCCGTAAGCATGCCACAGTTGCGCCGCTGCGAGGCTCCACTCGCACCCCCCCCAGCGTGTCACAGTTTCTCCACTGTGAGGCTTGAAGACCAGATTGAAGAAGCCATATATCTGCCAGTTGCGTCAGTTTCCTTAAGAGAAAAAACATTAAAGGTTAGCTGGGTTGCAAAGTTTTCACAAAATGAGAAACACTATTTTCGAACCTAAAATGACGGCAGGCGGCGCGCTTTTCTCCTTTTTTGTTACAGCATGCATGTCTGTGCATGTTTTATTAACTTAGAGGCATATAAGTTAATACAACGAGGATTTACGTTCATTTTAATCCACTAACGTTGTACCATAACCGTGCGTTCTGCATGTTTTTAAAAGCAAGCTAACTTGAAACACTAGACTATTAATCTGTTAAATACGGCAGCCCCCGGTACCGAGGGCTTCTTGTTCACGAAACGTTGTCTCAGGGGCTTCTTAACATTTAAAAACCTATTAATGTGTCATACCCACTTAACGAAACTCAGCTAACTGAAGATACGAACCATTTTTACCGAAACAAAACACAAGTCTCACTATTAAATTAGCGCACAGAACTCACGGTAGAAATACTTTATTATAGGCTACTTATCGTAACTGCGCATACAAGATATCAGATTAAAGCTGAGATTCCACAGATTCTAGAAGTATTAGTATGTATTTGAAAACGCTGGGGGGTATAAATTACTTTGTAAAATGAATAGTCTAGTGTTTCAAGTTAGCTTGCTTTTACAAACATGCAGAACGCACGGTTATGATACATTGTAGTGGATCAAATTAATCCTCTATGCCTCTAAATTAATAAAACATGCCCAGAAATGCGGTAAAAAAAGAAGAAAGAAAACGCGCCGCCTGCCGCCATTTTAGGTTCGACTTTTCCAGAAAACTTTTGCAACACAAACCTTCCACTTTGAGATATAACTTAAAACAATATAACAATACTGTCTTACACGTAAGTTAAATCATTTCTCAAGTGAGGGAGATATTAAATGTAGGCTAGCTAACAAGAGCTCAAATCAAACTAACACACCATGCGACACAAAGTGCATTAGATGCAGAAATTAATAACACATCATTTAAATACTGTGCAAAGGCAAGCCGTAACTCACCAGAGTAGTGCGGCCAAAAAAAAAGATCACGATTCCGGCACGGTGGGCAAAGTATTCTTAAAAGTCTGAGCGACTTCAACAGAGGCGAGGGGCTAATGGCGGACTCTGGTGAAGGCATGGGCGTCTAGGCACGTCGGGGGCGGAGCACATACGTGATGACGTCAGACCAGCGTCAGACAGATTCAGTAAAAATGTTTGAGTACTATTACCAATATGACCCTAAGTGGTTGAACACTGTATACACAATATTAAAAATCAGTTCATAGTCATCAGAAAATTAGCGGTGAATTAACTTTTTTAAATGTTTGAGTTAAAACAACCCATTTTCTTTCAGAAGCAGTGTGCAAGAACACTGGTGATTCTGTGAAATCACTGGCTGATTAGTGGTTTTGCAAAATCACTGTTGTGGTTGTAGTGGTTTTTCAAAATCACCTAGTTACTAGTGATTCAACAAGTTACAGAATTGTATAATTATATAAATATAGATAAAATATAGGTTCCCTTGTGTTGTGAGAAATGACAAAAAGATGGTTCCAGAATGATTCAGAAGTGGGAAAATGAATAAAGCAACCTCTGGGTTAAAAATAACCCAGGCAGGTGTTCAACTGCAATTGAAGCCCTAATAACCCCTTTGACCCAGCATGAACAACCCACCAGTGTGTTTACAGTACCCAAATAACCCATAATTATGACCCAGACAAATCAACCCAGCAATGTGTTTATAGAAATAACCCAGCATTTTTTAGAGTGTAGGCTATAGTACTTGAGTTTATGAATTTAGTTACTTTACACCAGATGCCATAAAGATAGAAAGACTAAGCCTTGCACAGAGGCATGACAATAGATTTTCAAAATGCTCAACAGTGCTGCCAAAATTATAAACTGACTGCTACACAATTAAAATAAATGCTTTTATATATTTCTATTAGATGTAACTCTTTAGCGTTTCTGTTATTATTAACACTGCTGCTTTAGTTGTTTTGACTGCTAAAATCCTCTGTTATTCCTCATTTTAAAGCCGATATTCCGTGGGGTCGGGGGGCTCGGGTCCTTGTCACCTTTTCCATACCTGATGAGTTTGCATCCCTGATAATACTTAGTAAGGAGGCCATAATATTTTTGACTCATGGCTGAAGTTAAGTTTCTCCAGCTCTCCCCAGGTTGGCAAAAAAATGCATCTCAAAATGCATCAGATTGATGCTTTAAAATATGGAATATTCAAAATGTTCTTCCGGGGGAGCATGCCCCCGGACCCCCCTAGAGGGATAATATCCTTCTCACCTTTTTCACCCCTGACCCGTTTTCATGCCTGCATGCATGTATGTAGTACTTTGTCAGCTTATCCTGCGACATTGCTCTGTTTCAGGGTGTCGTCATCCTTGTCATTAAAGTACCGAAACTGACATTGAGGAGTGTGTTTCTTCATAAACCAATAGGTTAAAACAGCAGGCTTCTGCAGCGAATGAACCACCTCTGGAGACTCCACCTGTGGGGGAGACCCAGGGGGATCCCTACGTGACCAGCTGACGCCAACGCCGAGCAGCTGCGTCACGGAGAGGGCTGTGCGGGTTTGTGACGCCAGAGGAGAGCTGTCAGTTTCGCCACTCACTGCCGCGAGAGCCGCGCTCTGCTGCTGGCTGAGTTTAATTCCACTATCAGATAAACGATTGTCTGAGAGGGAAGAGGACAGCTTTTCTTCCAATTCATTATGAAACCCAGGCTTTGACAGATGCGATACGAATGTAACGTCTGTAAAGAGACTTCCTCCCTGGAGCGAGCCAGCAAATAGCAGGTCGTCCTGAGGAAAACACACTCTCATCCCTCCTCTGTGTAGTGGCTCCAGCCTTCTATACACAAAAAATGCGAGGAGCCAGGAAATATCCAAACGCTATTTCCTGTGTTTCGGGATGATGGGTGAACCAGTCGTCCTGGTGAACACATTCCAGCACCTGATTTTCTTCCCCTTGAGGAACCCTGGAAATAGCCTCTTTCAACAGGAGTTCCTGCAGCTCGGATTGGAGCGCAAGACATAGCTTCTGGGAGGACAGGAGTGTTTCCTGTATCCCATTGAACTGGGGGGGGGGGGGAGGAGGAGAGGCGAGGCGAACTGCAGGGTGTATCCTCTGCTGATCAGCCTGCTCATCCATCTGTCCATCAGACACACACGCTGCCACTCTGAGAAAAACTCTGAGAGCAGGCGCACATGCTCGAGATGTGTTTTTGGTCGTCATGGTGACAAGCCACGCCAGAGCCCCTGCCGCCGCTGCCCGTGAGGCAACCCAAGGTGTGCTTGGACCGAAAGGGCTGCGCGGGGGCCTCCACACGCTGCGTCTCACTCCGGCTCTCATCATGAGGCACGCTCAGGGGATGGATGGAGGTGTGTGCAGTGCTGTCCACATGAGGCGTTATAATGGCGCTCATGGGTTTATTATGACAGTGTGTAGGAGGCGTATCTCGGACAGAGGAACGCCGCGAGCTCTGCAGGTTATTAACCGAGGTTAAAACCGGCAGGCTTCTGCCGCGAGCCCTGCTGTCTACTTAATCAACAGATTAGTGGCAGCCGGCTTAATTTGCGAGCTCTGCAGTTAATTAACCGAAATCCTCGCCTGGGAGACAGCGACGGACGCACACAGAATGAGCGCCGTGCTGGCCACCTTGCTGATTTCCTCTGCCTCGGTGGTGGACCGCTCTACCAGTGTCACCACCGAGTTGGAGAGCAGCGCGATGTTATTCGCCGCCACGCTGTGGTGACGGAGAGGGTGAAAGCAAGTTCGGCCGCCAAACTGGCACCCTGCTCCAGAGGGAGGGGAGAACCGAACGGTGAACCGTGGAGGGAGGCGGGGCAGGAGTTGCTTTTCTTCGGACTCCTGCCCGGCACTCGGCCCCAGGGACACGAGGCCCCGTCCGTGGGCTCGTAAGCCTGGACGGGCCAATTGTCCTCCTCGGCCACAGCAGCAAGAGCGTCCGCTCTCCGCTGCCTGTCGCCCGAGGGGAGACGGGCGCAGTGTGTGCATGCTACCTGCTGGTTTAGAGCCGCGTACGCGTGCTCTGACCCCAGGCAGGATTCACATACTGCTTTTATCTCTGCTGGTCATAACTCATTATGAACCCAGAGCCATATGAGGGACAATCACGGGCGCAGTTGTTGCTCATGATTCTCAATTGCTGTGCTTCAGTAACTGTGCTGGTTTGCTGAAGAAAAGAGGGAGCAGATTGTCGGGCCTCCTTCCTATTTATACCGGAAGGAAGCCCGAGGGTGGGGCCCACCTTGCGGGTGGGCGTAGACTACAAGTGTTTCAGTGCTGCGCAGGGGGATTACCCAATAGCGATAGCCTTAGAGGGCGAAGCCATATACGAAATAGAACTTCTTTTAAATGTGGATAAAACCAAGGTAATGCTCTTTTCTAAAGCTAAAGCTAAAAATACACCAGAGACTGCTTTGGATATTGTAACTACGCAAGAAATACAACTTGAAGTGGTTACCTGTTACAAATACTTGGGTATCTGGCTTGATGACTGTCTCACTTTTAAACTTCATGTCAATAACCTGCTTAAAAAGCTGAGGGTTAGGCTAGGTTTCTTTTACAGAAATAAGTCCTGTTTCTCGCTTGAGGCCAGGAAAAGGCTAGTCACTGTGACCTTTTTAACTGTGCTGGATTATGGTGATTTGTTATATATGAATGCACCTGCCAATTACCTGAGCAAGTTAGATGCTGCGTATCACAGTGCACTGAGATTTTTGACAAATTGTAAAGCACTTACGCATCACTGTACCCTGTATACCAAGGCGGTTATGCCATCACTTACTGTACGGAGGCTCAGTCACTGGTACTTTTTCATTTACAAAGCCATGTTGGATAAACTACCATCTTATATCTGCTCCCTGATCTCTCTGCGAATTGAAAGTACTTATTGCCTGAGATCGCATGCTGTGGTTTTATTAAATGTGCCAAGTGCTAGGACTGTCTTAGGGAAGAAAGCTTTTAGATGTGCAGCTCCACTAACATGGAACAGTCTGCAAAAAGAATGGAAAATTACCAAGCTAGTACCACTACATGTTTTTAAAGCTCGGTTGGATGCTACAAAATCAGATGCTGTTGGTACCTGTACTTGTGGTTAAATATGTAAATTGTAATCCCTGTACATTTTGCTGTATGATGTCCTTTTGTTGTTCTGTTGTTTATGTCTTCTTGTGGAACCTACTGCTGCAGGTCTCCCTTGAAAAAGAGATCATTGATCTCAATGGGATTTTACCTGGATAAATAAAGGTTTTGAATTGAATTGAAAAACTGTGTCACGATGCAACTGTCAACATTGTTTACCTATAGAAGTTGTTCTGACGCGGGACAGACTGGACCTCTTCCTGGAATGGGGTTGGTGCTCCATCCTATTTTTAGCCAGGAAATAAGTGCACACAAAGGTATTTATTGATTTCATGTTCACAAATTCAAACCTACATGGTATAATTACATTTTGAATTAGTCTTACCCGATCAGACGCTGGTTGTGGGTGCCTGAGAGGTCTGATAAAGGTAAACAACAAATATATTCAAACTACTGTACTGTTAAAACATTCTGCTTCTTGTGGCACAAAATAATATGTTGACAATGTTTTTATTTTACCCTGGCAAACTGTTGTCCATTCGTGGAGTGCTCACTTTTGGAACATTTGGAATGTCCCACACCTGCATACACACAAATGACTGACTGAAATACAAATAAATTCACTTTAATTAAGAATAAATGCCACGATAAATCCAAACTGACCAAGGTACAGTATATTGTTGACCGTCATTTAACTCTCACATTAGGATTTACATTGGGGCAACCAACTCCTCTCTGCACCTATAATATATCTATATGATGTCAAGAGTTACATTTAGGTGCACAGTGCTGTCTCTTGACTTGCAAACTCTTTTACCAAACAAGCTAACGCTAGCTGGGTAAATATGACGCTCTTTGTATCAAAACAAAACTTACCTTCTTATATATCGACTTTTCCCACTTCGATCAACTTTGTTTCCTCCGGCTTCAATTTGCAGCACTCTTGTTCGTTCTCTCTGTCTGGTCAGACATCAATCTGTTCCACGTAGCGCGCCCCCTAGAGGCCTGGAGCACTTCCGGAATGTTCTTTTTATTTTTTTTATGTGTTTTGGGATTTGTACGTGCTTTGGACTTTGCATATCGTGCAGCGTTTTTTTGTTGCGTTTGTTTTCGGGGTTTGTGTGTTGTATTTAGTTTGCATAATTTCTGTAAATGCAGCGTTTTTCTGTTGTATTTGTTTTCAGGATTTGTTTGTTTTTCATTTCAGGATTTGCAGCCGTTTCCTGCTAATGTATGCGTTTTGGGCCGTTGTTCCGCGTTTGCACCTGCCGGCCACCGTAGCAGCAGCAGACAGCCTTTTCGAATGTTTGAATGAATCCAAGTGGGTCGTCACCGTCGGTTTTCTCTTATGCTCCAACACACAGTTGCACGGGGTGCAGAATAGTTTCCCCCCATTTTCGTGCAAGACATCGGGGTACTGCTTTGCCCGGTCTTTAGCAGAAATGTTCGTCGTTAAAGGAACGCTCCACTCATTAGATAATTAATCAAAACTTCAGTATTTAGTGAAACATTATGTTTAAACCACACCCTGAAGAAATCAGCGATATTCCCCGGTAAATAATGATTTTATAGCTCTTTTTTTTATCAAAACCTGTATATTCCGTCAGGCCGCTGCCATTTTGCCCATTTTCAGTAGTCACGTGATGGTCGTGACGTCATCCATGCGTTCACTTTGTAAACACACGAAAACATGGAGTATTTGAGTTCGGACTCGTCAGCCGAGGAAGAAGTTTTGAGCAATATGAAGAGATTGGATGGGGGAATTCAGCCATACAGGTTCAAGCCTACTTAGTACTACTTAGTAGATACAATGATTTTGATTACTAGATATGTATGCATGTAGTACCACCCTTGCTAGCGATTCCCTCTCTAGTTTAGCATACTCAGCCTCGTTGTCCCTGGCCCTAGAACCACGATTTTATGGGGCCGGAAAAACTGGGGGAAAATACCCACTAGCCGGTACTACGCTATATGGAAAGGCCACCAAAAACTGGCCTGGCCTGTACGATAAAGGACGTTTAAACGGGGCTACCCGCTGCAATGGAAATGCGCTATAACATACCTTATTCTTACTCCGAGCACTACTTCTGGTCCTCCGTCGCTTCACACTTGCAGAGGGCGATTTCTCAACTGGCCGAACTGGTGTCCTGGTCGGTGATGACACCAGAAAGACCGATGGTACTGCATCTCCATTAAGTAATGGTTGTTCAATAAATCCCATGTTATGTTTTATCATACTCAGAGTCGTCGTCCGGAAACTTGAAATGTTCGCTGCATACATGCGCCTGTGGATCTTTCGGTTCGGGCCGGCCACATTTCGCTAGCCACTGCCTCCGAACGTACTTCCTACGCTTACCTTTTGGCAACAGATGGAACCGAGCATTCCGTGGATTGTTCCAATCAGAATTGTGGCAATGTTTCGCGATACAATGAGGCATATTTGAAGAGAGTAACTACAGTAAATAACATAAACATCAACGTGTCCTCGAAACCAAACGCATGGTTTACGTCACGTCCGGTAAAATGGCGCCGCCCACAGTGTTGATGTTATTTCGGTAATTAATCAGTTTAAAATCACTGATAATGTCATCGGATTTAAAAAAATAAAAAAAAAAGACTGGCAGAGACTGGTCTGTTTTATCGGATGATAATTATTTAAAAATGAGTGTCATGAGCATACCATTCCTTTAAATGAGATGGATTAGATTTTTTCATCTTGGTGTTTTCTCTCTCGTGTGAGTTCCACACGTTCACTCTACGGTGTTGTTTACCTTCTGTGATGCGCGAGCTGAAGACGTTGCATCATCATTATCATCACTACTTCACGTCGACGAGTTAACTTTTTGTCCCCTCAACTTTGTCTGAAAAAATGCGGGGATTATGCGGCCTTTTGATAAATATGCGGCCTTTTAAAAAATCTTCGCCATTTCGCCATTTTTTTTTATATATATATATATATATATATAAACATATTGTTTTTTTTATATATACATATTTTTTTATATATATACATATATGTGTGTATATATACATATGTGTATATATACATATATAATCATGCTTTATAGGAATACTTAAAGAAAATAAAAATGTTGTTAATTCACAATAAATCTTATTGCTTCCATACCATTTATGATACTGACTATCTAACTGTTTACAGATCTTTAAGGAGCGTGAAGAAGACCTGAAGAGGCTGTCCAGACCTCTGGCCTGCACGTGCTTCAGGACATCAATCTGGGACGAAACCCTGTATAAGGTTCCAACACCTGACCAGTTGTATGTTCACATGTCATGTAGTAAAGTTGACACTGTAAGAAAACTATTTTGAAATGTCTCCGCAGGCCTGGTCCAGCATTGTATACCAGCTCATACCCAACGTCCAGCAGCTGGAGACAAACCTGAGAAACTTTGCACAGATCATAGAAGCTGATGAAGTGCTTCTATTTGAGAGAGCCACCTTCCTGGTGAGAGCAACTGTTCATCTGGCACGACCCGGCAGAACATCTGGATGTAGTTATGAAACTTTTATATTTATATTTTTATGTTTTAAATGCAGGTGATCTCCCACTACCAGTGCAAAGAGCAGCGCGATGCCCACCGGTTCGAGAAGATCAGTAACATTATCAAACAGTTCAAACTCAGCTGTAGGTAAGTTCACTCTGCGGGAACATCAATGTCACACCACACACTGCGTTCCTGTCAGAGGTGGGAAGTAGTGGAGTACAAATACTTAGTTACTGTACTTAAGTACATTTTTCAGGTATCAGTACCACTACTTATTTTTCTTACGACTTTTTCTTCTTCCATTTTTAACACAAATACCTGTACTTTCTACTTCTTACATTTCTAAAACAGGCTCGTTACTTTAGTTTTAATCTGTGTTTGGTGGCGTGATTGATTTTAACACGATCCGTGTATCCATCATTTCCTGGTCTTCTCTAAACAAGAGCGACCAATGAAAATGTTGTCATGTTGCCGTTGTTCAGCATCGAAACATTCATTAGCTAACAATGACATTATTGTTCTATTAATATAAAAGGAGGTCAGTTACTCTTTAAAAAAGAGGGTAGTTATGGGTACTTTTTACTTAAATACATTTCGAAGCCCATACTTCTTTACTTTTACTTGAGTAAAGTTTAGTCAGTATTTTTAAACACGACTATCTGTACTTCTATTTGAGTAAAGGATGTGTGTACTTTTGCCATCTCTGGTTCCTGTTGGAAAAATATCACTCGTCACCGGCTTCAATATCAGGATACATGTATTTATTATCCTTGCAAGAATGGAAATAGTCATCACATACAGAGCATATGGTACAACTAGTTCCCGAACAGTGTCCTTCACATGCTTTATATACAAGAGAGGGTGTTCCACAGTCACAAGATGGAGGAATACCGGTTCAAAGCAGTTTAGTTTAGATTAGCTAAGACCCACGTCAGAAATGATCATGCTTGTCATATGTCTATCACCATAGAGGCTGAATCATCATATTAATCGTTGTCACATAGCTATCATATGCCTAAATCTCTTTTTTGTTATTCTAGTAAACTTGCAGCCTCTTTCCAAAGCATGGAAGTGAGGAACTCCAACTTTGCGGCATTCATTGACGTCTTCACCTCCAACACATATGTCATGGTCATCATGTCCGACCCCTCCATTCGTAAGTAGTGACGATAAAGAACGAATGTGCAGTCGAGACAACCAATTAGCATGATATTAATCCATGTTTCCATTTTTTCCCCAGCATCTGCAGCCACTCTCATCAATATCCGTAATGCTAGGAAACATTTTGAGAAGTTGGAGCGGGTGGATGGACCCAAGCACAGCCTGCACATGCGGATGCGCTAACCGGTGCGCTTTGTCCCGGTGGATACTCTCAGCCAATCAGTCGTCAGAAAGACCGCAACGCGCCGTGTGCCGTCTTCTAGCTCCGAAACACACGAGCAGCCCTGCACTGTTTCCTCTATATCTTCACATTCAATCAGTTATTACTGGAGAAATCATGTTTTCTTTTTTGGCCTAATTTCTTAAGTGATAAGTATTCTGTTGGATATAATTGCCCTAACCCGACGCATTAAAGTAAAAGGAATTGTTTTCTTTAAAAGAGGGGGGGGAGGGGCTACCTTTGCTGGCACACTTTGTCTTATCATGCAGTAGATTGATTCACTCCTTCAGGTGAATCCCAGTGATTGGGAGATGTTATCTCCAAATGTTCATGTTTAATTTTCAAATGCAGTTTGTAAGCTGTTACACTTTGAAAGTACAAACAATATAGTTATATACTGAAACAAATCCTAAGTGCTGTGTTTTTTGTCTGCTTTTACCTTTTGATAAACATTTTCATCAATGGAATGCAATTCAACAATGGTACATGGGTGATGAGCAGATGTACACATGGTACAGTTTACTTTACACAATCAGTTCATTTCAGCACATTTAACAATGTGACAAACAGCTGAGTTAAGCTTTAATGGAGAATGCATTTTGATATCCTTTGTTGGCTCGATTAGATCCTAATGCCCCGGAATACGGCTGTTCAGTTTCATTAAAGAAACTGTAGAATGTTCATAACAACATGCTTATGAATTAGAAAAAGGCACCACTTGCTTCCTACTTGTCCACCGTTGTAAAACAAATGTGCATTGATTTTGAGTCATAGGGTGACATTATAAGGAAGCTATTGGAGAAATCTAGGAGTTACATAAATGATATCGTAAAAATCATCATAATGAACAGAAGGTGGACTCAAATCGAATAAAAGAGATGCGTCCTACCTTCCCAGTGTAGTTATACAATTGTAGATTGATCAGGAGTCACTTGGTCACATTACATGGAAGCTATTAAACATAAATTAGACTTTAAAATAAAGTTTTCATAACAATATTTATATAAAATTGAAAAAGCACTAAAGTCAGGTAAAATATTCATGTTTGACTGCAGTTCTGATAATAAGAAGCTGATAGTTTGACAAAATACATTTTCTTTAAGTTTCAGAGTCTAAGGGTATTTTCTCGATTTTTAGATGTTTTCTGAAATCACCTTTTAAATGTATTTCTTCTAACATGGCACCCCATGTGTTACATATCAAAATGTTCAGGACAATCTCTGGTATTGCTATATATGCAAATTACTCACCTTAGAGCACTGTGTGATGAGATAAGTAGCTCAAAAGCTTAACATTTGACATCCGATTTTCGGAAAATCTTCAAAACTCTTGTGAAAACACAAATGTACTCATGTGATCGAATTGTTTTGGTGTTTTAGATTTGGTTACCAAAGTCTTAGGATCACAAAAGCAGTGAAATATTTGAATTACACTGTATATAAATGTGTTATTCATGTCTGAAATGAAAAAAAAAGTATTCGAATTTTGAGTAAAATAGGTGTTTATCACTCACCACAGCAGGGACTGAGATACATTAGGACTGAATAATGACTTCATATTACATACCAAGGTTCATGTGATGTGTACAAATACAAATTGAGCATTCAAACTTTTTTTTTCAACCAACAATTTATTATAAATATGTTTTTTTCAACCAACTATTTATATAAATATAAGAAACTGGAAAATCTCACTATTTACAATAGTACAACCAAGACAGTGGGTCTGGCTGCTGTGAAGATGGGGGGTACAAGTGCTATACGAGACCTCCACGAGACCTTGCTGGCTGGGTTGAAGGTGATGGCTGTGGTGGGGCCTTTGTGCTGAGGTGTATCTTGACCTGGTGGCAGCCGCAGATGGAGGCAGCTGTAGTGATGCTGGTCTGCTGGTCCTTGGTGGTGATGGTTCTGGTGAAGGCCCTTGAGCCACAGTAGATCTTGACCTGGGGGCCGGCACAGATGGATGTTCTGGCTGCTGGATAAACGCCGCCTGTGGGCCACTAGGCCAGGGCTCGAGCTTAAGGACGTCCCGTCGTCGGAAAAAATAGTGTCGGGGAGGATAACAAATAATTTTGGGACTAGTTAAAATAAAAATACCCTGCTAACTCTACTACAAACGGCGATGAAAATGAAACCAACTGGACGTTTTGTGTAGCACACAGTTATTAAACCTCCTTGTCAACATAAACACACACGCACAAAACATTTAGCAACCTGCGAAATACACATAGACACACACAGTACGTAGCTACAGCTGTCAGCCAGCCGCACAGCTGGCTGTGCCCGCAAATTTGCGGGTCTAGCTATGTACTGAGTGTGTGCAGCGCCATATATCTATTATATGGCTCTGAGTGTGTGTATTTCGCGGGTTGAGTGATGTACAATGACAATGGCATCCCGTGGAGGAATTCTGAAATGTTGTACCGTTACATCACAAAAACGCACAGCAGAACCAGACCCTGGAGCGCCGGCCTCTTTATTTACTTACTCCGCTTCATCCCCTATGGGTAATAAGGCTGAGATGAGAACCCTCCATCATATTTAGTCCTTAGCAATATGCTGCGCCTCTCCCCATGTAGGGATGGGTACCGAGTCCCGGGCCGGAATTATTAAAGACAGTGATAACGTTAAGCTCCGACGTTATCGGACTTTTTATCGGTACTGGAGACATTTAAAAAATATATGTCATATGTATTATTGCTACATAAACATTATATCGCAGTTTTAGTTTCGCCAACTCCGTTTCTAATATGCAATAAGACTACAACATGCGTCTATAGCTGCGTTCACACCGCATACTTTGCAGTACTTAGTGCCCCGGCACTTATTACCCCAGGGCACTAAGTACCAATCGCGTTCACACCGGAGTACTTTTCCCTGAGGGAAGATTACGCAATTGAGCCGCTGACGTCACTTCGTCTTCTTCTGCTTTGGGTTTACTGGCAGACTGCAAACAACTTCACGGCGTATAATGCCACCCGGAGTCCCCGGAGTTGGGGACAGCAGCTTCTACTGAAGCCTTCCGAGTAAATCACCAGAACCCGACACCTCCTCATCACTCCACCGCTCCCATGTTTTTTTTTGTGTTGCCATAAGTATTCTCTCTCCATTGGTGCGCAGGGCTAATGCTAATGCTAATAATGCTAATGCCACAAATACAATGCTTCACAAAACTTTTCAGAGTTTTACGGGGTGTGGTTTGCAATTCGTCCAGCCAATCAGAACTAGTGTACTTTTTCCCCCCAGCATAGTACCACCTCTCAGCAGGCACTAAAAATGGGGGTAAAAGTTCTCGGCACTAAGTACTCTTTTTGGTGTGAACGCAACATAAGGGGTACTAACGGAACTAAAGGGGAAAAGTACTCCGGTGTGAACGCGGCTTATGATGTATTTTCGAGCTTTCCAATCCAGACGAGATCTCTCTCTCCCGTCTGTGTGCGAGGGGGCGGGGCAGTTTGTAAAGGTCTCCTGACTGTGTTACAGACTGTCATCCTGGTTAGTGGTTACTCTGGGTTCTGTCTTCAGGACAGAGTGTTGTATTTTTTTGTTAATTGGATGGGACTTGATTGGATTCAATGTTAGAGTAATTTTCTCGTTTGTTTAAATATATTTGGCCTTTGTTTATGTGATTGACTGATTTACTCAAATAAAAAGGTTGATGAATTATCATCTAATGATTTGTATGATGTTTTATTTATGTTAAAGGTCACTTTGAATGATTTTAACTAATGATAATGTAGAAAAACTAATATTTTAAATTCGGGACGGTCCACATTAATTTCGGGACGTTTTAGATTGTATTTCGGGACGGTTCCGGGAGGATGGTGAAAAAAGTTAGTCGAGAGCCCTGCACTAGGCCCAGACAGCTGTGAAACATCTCTGTAAAACAAATTAAAATGTAGGACAATAATTACAACTAATGTCATTGATATAAAGTTAAAGCACAAATAACAATGCACACATAAAAAGAAAGTTTGGGAGGTTCATCACAGGAGTGCTCTCTCTCGACTGTTCTGAGCTCTCTCTTAGTCTTCTCTCGCCTCTCTCTCTCTATCTCGCTCTCTCTCTCTCTCTCTCTCTCTCTCTCTCTCTCTCTCTCTCTTCTCTCTCTCTCCTCTCTCTCTCTCTCCTCCCACACACATACACACATACACACAACACACACACACACACACACACACACACACAGGTATTCCAGTTACTTTACATTCAGTATAAAATCACTGACACAACATTACATAGGACTAAATAGATTACAAAGGTCTCATCTGTACAGGACTGTAAAATAATAACAGGCACACATATAAATAAATCTATGACAGAAGAGGCTTCTCAATACTCAAATGTCCCCTCCTCGACTCCTCGGACCTCCGGTAGTGACCCGGAAAATAATTTCAGCGCGCCATTTTGAAGGACATCTAATTTCTCTAAATGCACACCGAGGATCGAGCGTCGAGGAGGCTCTCTGGAGGAGCTATAACCGAGGATACACTGATTGTTCCTCCACGGCTCCTCCGCGGATGCATTTCCGGGAACGGTGGAGGCGTGACGCACATCTCAGCCAATGACAGCTCTGCATGCATTCCCTGGATATTATTTTAGAAACTGCTTTCATCGCGTTGCGATGTTTCCAGAGAGAACAGCTGTGAGGTCCGTGCAGAAAGCAGAGTAGTGTGTATAATATATATATCACTCAGTATAACAGGCCTACTCTCTTTATTTGCTGTAGTTTAGCAGATAACTACAAACAAAGAGTCGATATTTAGACCATTTAGTGCTTCACATAATAAAATACACAAGGGCTGTAGCCTGATTATGCTTTAGGAGCTGTAGGTGTGTGTGTATTTTACAAAGAGTGAAACAGCGCCCCTCTAGATGTTATGGTGAAACAGTAGATTGCACTCACTGTTGCGAGAGGAGGCCAGCCGAATCTGGCTTCCTTTGGTGAAAAAAAATGGAGGGCCATGCCAAGGGAAGCCAGTCGCCTCTTGCTTCCCTTCAGAGGCGGCTGGCGGATGGCGATTTGATTGGACACTGCCATCCAATCAAATCACATCAACATCAGTTTTAATACTGTAACTGTCATCACCGCCGTTAGAAATTATCAAGCAAATGAAGCATTATGGAGGGTGGAGATTTGGCGTACTTAATCAAACATAACTTTACTAAACTTCCGCTACAGCAGCAACTGAACATTAAATCCGATGACAGGCCAATGCCCGCACTCGAGCTGTGTGTACACAGAGGAAAAAGGGAGAGAATCGGACGTTCAATGAGGACAATTATGTCCGCACGGAGTGGCTAACTGGAAGCGCTAAACTTCAGCGTCTATTTTGCTGGCCATGTCTTCTTTTTGACAAGGATTCGTGCTCCCTGAACAATCCTTGGGCAACGTCAGGATTCATCGACCTTGC